TAAATCAAACAACATTTAACCAGGGTTGCCAACTTCGAAAAAATTAATAATCAACCAACAATTTATGTATATTATTTAAATAAAGATATAGATATCAAAAACTATATAATTTGAAGAGAAATTGACTGATGAAGTTTTGGAAATGAGTTGCCATCTATAGGAAGTCTATAGGCAGTTTTTTAGATTAGCAAATTTTATGGCAAATTAGAGTTGCAAATTACCTCAGTTAATCAAATTAAAAGTTACAAATATTTTAAGATGCCGATCTGAAATTTTGCACACGTCTTTTTTCCTTTAAGATTGGGCTCATCTCTCGAAGCTAAAGGACCATAGTATAGCATATTATTCAAACCGTGTCACTATAGCAAAGTCACTGCCATACAAACTGAACGATCAAAAGCAATTTCATGTATGGCAAACTTTTTTATTGACAGGATCTACACGAAACTTGGAGTAAATTATTATTCGAGTCAGCCGTACAATATCTGAATGAATTGTTTAGGTGGAACCTTTATACCATAGAGCTATCAAATAAACTAGCAATCTGAGTAAATAACTTTTATACTTTCTTATGCTGTAAGAAATGCAACTGTGAAGGTTTTTTATTGTTTAAAGTAAGAGGATGCATCAAAAGACGGAATGTGGAATTACAATCCGCTAAACATAACCTACTGGCAACTCTAGACTCTCACACGTAACCACCATTTATTAAGTATTACTTCGTAGGAGTGATAAGACATTTAAGTTTCCTATATGGTATGGGCTGCCACTACGCTGCGAACTTTCCACTTTTCAGTTATCATTCGAGTGACATATAAGTATGACAAATTTGCCACCGTAAAACTACCACCGAGTTGTACATACAAAACCAAAGCCAATAAAAGAATACATGCTCATAGTCTTCAAAGCACTCTAAACACAACGGACTAATGTCATGCTGGAATCTGCACAGGTAGTTTATAAAGCCGGTAGAACCGAGCATTGTGGTACTCCACTCGAATTAGAGTAGCTCTTGTTGCCTTTATCATTACCGAAAAATAGTTCTCTGTTTTCAAAATAAGTTCTACTAATTTCCATAAAATATTAAGAAGCTGATAAGTCATACAGAGCCTTGATTATATTTGCCCACATGGCTGAGTTGAAGGCATTCTTCACATGCAATGTGATTAGTATTTCCATCGCTTGCCACTTACTGCGCCTTCCACAGTGTCAGCAACATTGTATTAGGTTGTCAGAAAAGTCTTGCGGTATTTTCGCTAGTTGGCGCTGAGAGCGCGTAGTTCTAGTATTATGAGTCGCATCAGGTCATGCTATACTTTTTTGGAAAGCTCATTTTACGCGCTAATACGTGTTTGATTGATTGTCGTTTCTTTTAAGTCGTTCGTTACAGTTACAGCGTCGCAAACATGGAGCAAAATAAAGAGAAAATACGGCATATTTTACAGTACTACTACGATAAAGGCAAAAATGCATCTCAAGCCACCAATAAAATTTGTGTAGTTTACGGACCCGATACAGTTTCCATTTCCACTGCACAACGATGGTTTCAACGTCTTCGTTCTGCCCTATTATGTAGTCCGTCAATGGTGGGCCTCTTTTTCATAAAGCCGTATTGTCTTACTGATAATCCGCCAGCTTTCTGGATTGCTAACTCTAAGCGGTTTCTTACTATGCTGTCATACACTTTAGCAATTTTGTCAAGCATGCACAGATGGCGAAATGATGAAGGTTTGTTTTTGGTTTAGGAAGTAGAACCATTCGTTGGACTTTCCATTTGTCGGGAAATATCCTTTATTCTAAGCGCGTATTGTATATTTTTGCGAATAACTTCGGTTTCAAAGTCAATGCTACTTTTAAAGCTCAGTTTTGTATACCATCCAATTCAGACGTTTTGCTTTTTTTAATTTTTACGGTCTATGTTATTTCTTCACTAACAAGCAGTGTTGGCTCTATCACTTCGGTACCTGTGAAGGGTATTATAGCTTCCGTGAAATGTCAAAAGTAATCCAAAGCCTACATACACTGCCGCCCAACTGAATAGGTTCATGATCTCAGAGGTAGGAATATATCTATAATTCCAGTTTTCCGATTTACACAATTTTTTTTTCTTTAATTCTTAAATCATATTAAAATAAAATGGTGAAAAAGGTTTTTCAAAAACATATTATTTATTCCTTATTTATTTATTCTTCTGAAAGGTTAACAAAATCAATGATATTTTTTCGTTCATCTGAATAGGTTCAACCTAAAAAAATTAAAATTATATAAGTAACATAAGATTATTTTCATATTTTTGGCATTTAGCTTATACTTAAGTGCATTTCTAAAGTAATTTTTAATAAGTTTAATAATGAGTAAATCCGCCGTTTTTTGATATAACTTCATATAAACGATCGGGAAGCGAGCTATACAAATTCTGCAGTATTTGCAGCGAAATTGTCGTCCAGGCCGTTTTAATTGCCGCAACTAAAGTTTTTTTGCAATTAAATTGCCTGCCTCCTTCATATACCTTGCGCGATAGCAACCCCCATACATTTTCCATTATATTAAGGTCAGGTGAATATGGGGGCCATTCGAGCAAGCCCACATTTTGAGCCTTAATCCACTCTTTAACCACCCTAGCTGTATGAATAGGAGCATTATCGTGCTGGTAAGTCCATTTGATAATGTGAAAAATATTGGAATAATGAGGAACGCAGTCTGTATGATAGATTTGTAGGTTTCCGCGTTCATTTTGGAAGTAACAAATTGAAGGTCGCAAGTGCCAAAGACTGATACCGACCCCCACACCATTACGCCTCCCTCACAGCTATGGCGACGGCTCAGAAAATGCTCTTCCTTTCGAAGATCGTGATAATAATAGTAGAAAAAACGACCTTCTGCCATTCGCTCATCCAGCTCATGTGCTTGCGCGCAAAGAGTAGTCGTAAAGCTTTACGTGTATCATTTAACGGTGTTTTTTTTTTTTTAAGTTTCATTCGTTTTAAATGATCAGCCGACGAAATCACACGTTTAACTGTAGACACACTGGCTGTAACGCCGCAAATTTCTTTAATTTTGGGTGCTGAGAGATGCGAATTGGACGCAGCTCGGACAATATGCCTCCTGACTGCCGCAGAGGTGGCGTGTTTGACTCCGCCTTTCATGTTTTTGCCATATTCTGCTTTGTTTCTTAAAAAAWTACTCACAACATTTTGGCTTCGACCAATTTTTTGAGCGATTTKGCGATGGCTAAGACCACTTTCACGATAGGCCTCGATTTGACCTCTTTCATACTCGGATAATTGTTCTCCGCGTCTCATTTTTCATTTATTTTAAAGAAAATATATGAAATAAAAAGTTTGTATCAAAAATGTGTCGCCACACCGCCAAGTTTAATCACAAACTAAAAATCTTTCAGCTGAACCTATT